AAAATTAGAGCTGTGGATGGGTGTCTTTCCTGGGAGGAGGAGGGAAAACCACGATGTGTTAAATTTCATTTTAGTGGAAAAATGCTTACTTGGGCCACGTAGCCCTAGTGAACAAAGCCGTGACCACTTGGAGTCTGGTCAGCTTGCAGCCTTCCTGCTGCAGCACTTGTCTGCCTCATGTAGCTGAAGTTGGAAGAGACCATTGAGTTGGTTGGTGTTTTTTCTTTCTGCTGTGGAAGCTACAGCTCAGAACTTGGCCTATCTGCTCACACGTTTTTCTGGTTTTAAATTTCTCCTGGCCCTTCGTGCAATTGTGTGGAGAGAGGGGGAGCCCTACGGGATCTCCATAGCATGGCTCCATTTTACATTTCTGAAAGGCAAAGGCTAGAAATGCAGGCCTCCTAACAGGGCGGTGGAATAGCAACACAGAGAAGTAGAGCAGGAGATGAATGATCATCCCCATCATTACGTATTATTTATAAGACTTTGCAAGTGAGTGTGCTGTTTATTGCTCACTGAGCGTTACTCCAGAGTTGAATTGTGCTGCAGCCTCACTGCTCCCAGCAATGTTTTGCGCTCCACTGCAAGTACGATGTGAACGCGTCTAGAGGTAGTTGCTTCCAAGTCATGTGCTCTGTAATTTGCTTATAACCCTTTCAATCTTGTCTGTTGCCACAACAGTGATGCCTGCTTGCTGTTTTTGCCAGTGCTGTCTAGCTGGGTGGTGCTTATAGTTTTCAGGGAGAGCTGGAACATGCTTAAGTCAGCTGTACTAATAACTCTTGAATATAGAGGACCAATATCAAAGTTTGAGACAGTAAGATACATGTTGAAGACAGCCCGTGGGCCACTAAGAGTTACAGACTTTTGTTGATTAGCATGTAATATTACATTTTTCGCTCAGGTCAGGTCTCCTTCACCAGATGGGATAATATTGTCAAGGGACACATACTGTATGCCCATCTGGATATGTGTGTCTTTTCTGACAAGCGATAATAGGTAGCAGGCTATTTTTACACTTCACAGCAAAATCAGCAGTCCCTATTTCAAGGTGGTAAAGATACGAAGACCTTTCTCTTTAGGCAAGCTTTCCCTCAGTGACTGGTTGCTGTGCCTTACTGCTTTGTATATGGTTATGGTGTTGCTTTTGTTTACCGATTCTTGGTTTGGTATTTGATTCTTTTTAGTTATTTGTATGCTTACTGTTATTAGCTAAATATTGTCTTCTAATTATGTAAGCTGCATTTTGTCCCTTTTAAGGAGAAAGGCGGGGTAAAAATATTTTAAATAAATGAAATAAACAGAGCCAACTTGTAAGTATAGCCAGATAGATATCCAAATCTGTGGTATGTTTCACTAAAAAGAAGTCTTGCCAGAGCACCGAGCTTTTGCATCAAGGTTATATCTCTAGAAGGGGTTTTTCCTCGTCTTGTCATATATTTCCACTAAAAATCTTGTTGTAATTCAAAGAGTAACATGTTTTATTTAGCATCACCTTTCATGGACTCCAGCCCACGTCATCAGAGGCGTGCTGATGCATTTCCACTCTGTATGGCTAAATGTGGTGCCTTCCATTGTAGACATTCCCAGAAGGCAGCTGCATCATTACCTGTTTCAGAAAAGGAAAAAAAAGAGTCTTGAACAGGGATGAGGACTTGCGTAATTCAAAGAGTAACATGTTTTATTTAGCATCACCTTTCATGGACTCCAGCCCACGTCATCAGAGGCGTGCTGATGCATTTCCACTCTGTATGGCTAAATGTGGTGCCTTCCATTGTAGACATTCCCAGAAGGCAGCTGCATCATTACCTGTTTCAGAAAAGGAAAAAAAAGAGTCTTGAGCAGGGATGAGGACTTGTGTTGTGGGACTCAATGTCAAGTCCAACTTAAGTTGAACCGGTGACTCGACTGTTTTTTTTTCCAAATGAGTCAGACTTTACTTGTGACTCCGAACCCACCCACCCCTCCCTTTTTCTTCTGGGGAAAAAAAAACTTGTTTTTAATAGGAAATTGGATTTGGGACTTGGTACCAAGGACTCAGATTTGGGACTTCACCCAAAGATTTGCCAACGTCCTTGGTCTTGAGATAACCACCTTGTAAGATTCCATGCCAGATAAAACCTGTTAAAGCTTAAGGAAGTGCCTTGTAGTTCACTAAATACTGTACCAGCTAACGCCTGTTAGTTCTTAAAATGCACAAGAGTCTGTTTTTGTTGCAACAAACACACACGTCTATCCCAGAAGTCATTTATTCCATTAATGGTGAAAGTGCTCTTTATATCTGAACACAGCTGTCTGCCAAAGTTCGTGGTGCAGCCAAATCAAAATGCCCCTGCATTTAGTTAATGAGATGATCTCAAAGGTTGGGGACAGGCTTTCTAACAGAGGAATATGGTTGTTAAACTCACTGACTAGGAATGTGGATGTGACGTGGCGTGTGGGTTACTGCACTGTAGAGATGGGCACAAACTCCTGGTATGTCAGTTCATATCCCCACTGAACACCTGATTTGTGATTTGGCACCCTGCCCCCCTCCAGCGGGCGCCCATGCAGCTGAATAGGCGCCTGCCTGGTGCAGAGGCAGGGTGCTGAACCATGGTTAGGCTGCTGATGAACCACCAAACCAACAGTTCATGCCTGGCTCTACTGCAGAGTGCTTTACTGTCAGCTGTGTGTTCATGTCAGGATTCTGAAGAACTCCCTATAAAGGACAAAGATCATGACCTGTTCTTTGGTAGCTCTGTTTAAGTTGTGCTGCTGTTTAGCCAAGTGACTGTCCTATTTGCCGTACATTTTTGTCACTCAGATCTCCATTCTCCTCATTTTTTTTTTAAGACCCCAGACAGAAATCGTCCTTGTCCATTCTACCTGGTAGTTTTGAGGGGAATGTCAATTCAGGTGGTAGGTGCAGCTGCCCCCACCCTTGCTAGTAAGATGGTGTTTCTATTTCTAAAAGATTAGTTTTAGTCAGTCAGGAAGAGCATTACAGATGTGTATGTGTGTAGTGGATCTTTTGTGCCTGGATTTTCCCTCCCTCCCCTGTAGAAATCTACATGCAGAATAAGAATGTTCAAAATTTATACATATATATTCATATTTCATTCTGATTTCCAGATACAGAATTTGGGAGTATTTACATAGCAAAGCAGTTGTGAAATTGAGCAGTGGCATTTTCTGCTAGGCATTAATTTTTTTATTTGTCTGTCTTATTTCACAGACGCCTTTCTCCTGATAAGGAGATTCAAGGTATGTGTTAGGGGACTAGTTCAGTACAGGAGTGAGTGAAAAAGAGGAAACAAGATGGGGAAGAGATTATAGCCACACATGGATTTCTTGAATTGTGCTCCACGGGGGAGGTTGTTCTTTCCTGGCACCACCAGGAAAGTCCGCAGAGCAACTGTTGGTGTGCCGTTTCCTGCTCTTGCAGCAGGGGAGGGGTTGCTTTAGCTGGCAGCTCATGACAGGATTGATCATCTTCTTTCGGTTTTTTTGTGCTTGATGTCGGATGCTGCTGTTCCTGTTTTCCTCACACCTTGGTGTGCAGTTTATCTCCCCCGCCCATCACAATGATTTCGGGTTTGTGTGCAGCAATATTGTTGAAGTGAAGTTAAGTAGACATGGTAGTGGGACGTGTCTCCCTTTCCTCCCCCCTCCTTTTTTTTAAACCCCTGAGCAGTAGTCTGAAGCCACAGGATGCATTGGCCTTTCTGCAGCTGAGCAGGCCTGGGCTTGAGTCCTTCGCCTACAGAAGATCTCAGGTTCAACCCTTGTTGTCTGTAGATACAGCTGGGGAAGACTCTGGTTTGAAACCCAACAGAGCCTCTAAAAGCAGCGAAGCTGGGGAACTGGTAGCCCTTTAAATGTGGTTGGGGACTCCATTTTGCCACATCTCATGTCCTGTGATGAGTGGTTATGGGAGTGACTGTTTGTCACCACCTGGATGATTGCAGGTTTAGGGAACAGGAGTCTGACACTATGTAAGCCAGCACCTTATAATCTTGGAACTTGTATATCCTCTAGGATGTAATGTGGAAAAATGGTGGGATGTAAGCAAAATCAGTGTCGTTAAAATCTCAGCTGGTGGTTGGAAGTGGGTGTTGATAGTTCGCAGAGAAAGGTAGCATGCCTTCTTTCCCCCTCACACCTCTGGAGCACTGGACAAGAATAGTGATGTGGGACCCGACCTGTGTACGTTGCTGTCCGTAAGGTGATGCTGCAAAGCCAGGAAAGAGCCCAGCATGTTTGTTTGCCATAAATATATTATAATTGAGACTTGCATCAAACATTGACCAGGTATGAAAATATTGGGTAGATGAATACTTTGTTATCAGTGCTGTGCCTTTAAAAGACTGTTGTTTGATCTCAGTGCTCCCTGGGGATAAACATGTCTCAACATAATTTTTTAACAGTAGCCATACGAGAGGACCAGAATTGTACTTGCTTGCAGAGGTTGTTCAAGAATTTTTAGGCTTGTCTTAGCAACCGGTGCTAGAATTGAAACATGGACTTAAAAAAAAAAACAAGCAGACATAAGTTTTTGAAAAAGTTTTTAGTGTGCAAAATTATGTGGCAAAGACTTCCAAGCCTCCCATAATGAGATTTTGGAAATCCATGGTATTTGGTTTATGCAATTGTGATTGTTTTGATTTGTGTGTTGTATGCTATCAAGTCAGACTTACAGTGACCCTAATAAGGCTTTCAAGATAAGTTTAGGGACTGTTTTTATCAGTTCCACCCACCGCCCCGTGGGTTTCTGTGGCTGAGCAGTGTCTCAAAACCAGGTCACTTGAGTTTTAGTTCATCGCTTTGTCTAGTATACCACACTGGCTTAGGATCTTATTATTCCTGTCCCCATGGCTTGGAACATCAAGGGGGAGAGGCATTCAGAAGGAGACATTTCAAAACAATGACCCTTTTTAAATTCTTCATGAAGTCTGTTTCAGCACACAGCAGGCTTGTCTCTCTAATTGCAGTCCCTGTGGGCTTCTCTTTTGTTATAGGTGTCGCTATCTTGCTGTCCATCTCTCCCCAGCCATTCCTGTCTTTGCGGTGATCCTCTTCCTGTTTGCGATGGCTACTCTCCTGCGGACAAGCTTCAGTGATCCAGGGGTGATCCCACGAGCCCTGCCAGATGAGGCCGCTTTCATTGAAATGGAAATTGGTAAGTGGGCAGTAGCTTCTTCAGGCCTTTGCAATCCTAGATCTGCTCAAGCAGCCTGTGGATGTGGTGTGCTCTCCTCCGCTGCTTCTGGGTGACTGTGTATGTGTGTATATACTATTTATTCTTGGGAACAGTGAAGACTTTCTGCCCAAAGAGATAAAAGCATTGTTATGAACACATGGCTTCCATTTTCAGAGGCAACCAATGGAACTGTGCCTCCAGGTCAGCGGCCACCCCCACGCATTAAGAACTTCCAGATCAATAACCAGATAGTGAAATTGAAGTACTGCTATACCTGCAAGATCTTCCGTCCACCCCGTGCCTCACACTGCAGCATCTGTGACAACTGTGTGGGTGAGTGATGGGGCTGAAGTTCAGAACCCTGTAATGTCTGTGTTTGCAGCTGGAAAATAAAATGTGTAATGGGGTTCTTCTATTAGGCAGTGACAGAAGCCATGAAGTTTCCTGCCATGGATCATTAAATCCTGTTGTCATGGCACAGGCAAGGGACTGGCGGATAGTAAATCTTTGCCCCTTCGGCTGAAATTTTACCAGACATGGTCCTTTCTTTACCTGGAAAGGCTTGCAACCTGTGGGCTTTTTTTTCCCTTGTTTTTTTTGGGGGGGGGGGGGTTGTGTGTGAGATGAAAGGTATGATTCTCAGTTCCTAATTTGGTGTCTAGGAAGTAGTGAAATAGTCAAAAGTATGTTATGTGCAACCTCTACACAGCACATTTAAGGCAGTCCTTCCTGAAAGTAGAGCATCAGCAGTTGTGTTTATGGCCGTGACTGATTCAGATGAAAGAGGCATTGCCCAGCACTGATCTTTCTTTCCTGTCACCTAGATAACAATGCAATAACATAAATAGTTATGTGGTTTATAAAAATATGCAAAAATAAGTTCCCCACTTGCCCCTGGCAACAGAAAGTGACATCTTATGATGTCTTGGAGGGGCTGTTCCACAAGGCCAGATGTATAGGAATGGAAGGGAAAACTTGTTGTTTGATATCTCTTCTCCCTCAAAATTGTGTGTGTGAATCCATTTCCTAGGTAGGCTAGAGGGTGGACTCATAATACATGTCTGACATGTTAGTGGAGTTCTGATACAATTATGTTGGCCTCTGGTTAGAACTGAGCAGCCAGCACAGAAGTAGGTAGCTGATTTTCCCGTCTCTCTCATGCTTGCAGAGCGATTTGATCATCATTGCCCCTGGGTGGGGAACTGTGTGGGGAAGAGGAACTACCGTTACTTCTACCTCTTCATCCTTTCCTTGTCTCTTCTCACCATCTACATCTTCTCCTTCAACATTGTCTACGTGGCCCTGAGTGAGTTCCAACTGGGGGGAGGGGGAGGGAGAAGGACCCTGTTGTATAAGAGCAAGTAGGCATCCGAGGGGTGGGGGGTGACAGTGGTGGAAAAGTGCTGCTGCTCTGGTTTATTTATTTATTTAATTGAATTTCTACCCTGCCCATCTAGACCAAAGGTTGATGACCTGTAAACTAATTACCTTTCTCCTGTCACCCAGAATCTCTGAAGATTGGCTTTCTGAATACTCTGAAGGAAACCCCTGGGACATATCCTTTCCATTTCAACTGCAGCTTCTTTTAATCTACCTGTCTCAGTCAGGAAATGGGAAAGACTGTATCCTCCTTTAATGGAGGGGCAGCAGGGTAGGATGTCTGTAGTGTGGGGAGAGACTAAGCAGTCCGCAGTGCATGTCATATTCCTTAACTTAGCTGCTCACGGCTCTGGAGGTTTTGATCTGTTTCTTCACACTTTGGTCTGTGGTGGGTTTGACTGGCTTCCACACATTCTTGGTAGCACTGAACCAGACAACTAATGAAGATGTAAGTGGTAATATGCAGATACGCACACTCTGTGGACTCTAATGTAACTAATTTCCCTCCTGCCAAATACGCTCACTGTGAATGCACTCTGCTGGGAACACTACTTAGGGATTCCCATGACAATCTTGAGTTTTGCTGTCTCCCTAGGCAGGAATGGTTCTGTTTTCAGTTCCCTTGTGTGGACTCAAACCCATCAGGTCTTTCTCTAGTAGACCTAGTAAGTTTTATTCTAATTATATAGTACATAGTTTCTGTTTTTAAAAACCTTCTGCTCTTTGAATGGAATGCATTTGTGGTGAGGAGAAGGTGTACTTCTGGCTTCTTCACATCTGTTTGCCATTTCAGAGGTTCTCTTTTCCCACTTCCTAGAGCATTTTTTTTTTGGGGGGGGGGGAGACAGGACCTTTGATAAATGGCATATTTCTGGGAAGCAATTTACTAGGCAAACCAAAGCTCAGCCTGTATGTTCATTCAAGCAACAGCTTTTGTTAGGTTGTTAAAAATAAAGAGGCCTTGGCTGGGATACCAGTATTTATAGGAGCAAAACTGTTCTGGGAGTAAGGAAGTGATTCTGTGAAGACCAAAGTAATTAGAAAAGCAACAGGTGCCTGGTGCAAAGCGAAATACGGCTGTGGAAACCATTTTCTAAAAACTGTAACATGGTGGATGTTTTCATTGTTTTTCTGCATGTCATTATACAGTGGTGCCTCGCTTAACGAGCACTTCGTTTAATGGGAATCCGCATTGCGATTATTTAAATGGTAAAAAATCGCTTTGCGATGATCGGTAAGCTGTTTCGCTTACCGATTTTCACATAGCGATGTTTTTAGAACAGCTGATCGGCGGTTCTAAAATGGCCACTGGGTAAATAAAATGGCCGCCCGCTGTGTTTTTGCCCGGATTCCTCGCTTACCGGGCAGCGAAAATGGCCGCCGTATGGAGGATTTTCGCTTTAAGGTGAGTTTTTTGCCCAAAGGAACACATTAAACGGGTTTTAATGCATTCCTATGGACTTTTTTTCCGCATAGTGATGAATCCGTATAGCGACGATTTTTGCTGCATGGATTATCATCGCTAAGCGGGGCACCATTGTGCAGCGCATTGCTGCCCTGGCTCAAGGTTCTTTGGGGGGGGGGGCTCCTGTCTCTTCTTGTTCTTTCAGATCAAGGGGTCCTGGACTGGGAAGAACCGTGTGCAAAATCCGTATAGCCACGGCAACATTGTGAAGAACTGCTGTGAGGTTCTGTGTGGACCTCTGCCTCCCAGGTAGCAATCTATTCTAAACCCGGATGTCACACTGCATGTCTAAAATAGGGCTGAGCATCGCAGGGGAGGGAGCTTCAGTGGAAAGTCCCTTGTTTGCATTTAAGGTATTTTCAGCATCTTCTAGGATGGGACAAACTTACTTTCACAGATTAGCATCTCCGTTATATTGCCTCTTTTCCCTACCCAGCCTTGCTTCTAATGAGGTTGTAAAGAGATAAGACGCAGACTTTGCTGGGCCAGCCCTAGGTAGCTCTTCCCAACAGAAGGGGTTCTTTGAGGTTGTTGCTCCCCCCCTTCAAACTGCCCCCTCCCTTTTCCTTACAGTGTGCTGGACAGACGGGGTATTGTACAGCAGGAAAGTGCTAATCAAGATAGCACTCTTGGGTCCGAGTCCAGAACGCAAGAGAAAAGCACAGGAGAAGCTAGTGCCCAGGAAGCCAGTGGTGCCTCAGAGGGTGGCAGTGCCTTTCCAGAGGAGAGTTTGGTAAATATGATAAGATGCCATCATTTTTGTAGCATGATTCATGTGTGCCTTCTCCCTCGCCCCCAATCAGCACTAGTTCTGTCTCTTTCTAGTGGCCAAGGGTCAAGTGAAGTGGTTGGGGACTTCTCTAGGGAATGGCTTCTATAACGCCATGTGCAAACTCCCAAGGAAATAGGAAGTGGTGGCTTTTCTTTAGCGGTCTTCTGTTGGGACAGTGTTGTGAGTCATCCTTCCTTCTCTTCTTTTTTTTTTTCTCGCCCATGTCAGCAGCCTGTGCCAACATGCAAGGTGCCACTGGAGAAGGTGCCGCTCCCTCCTGCTGCTGCAGAACTGTCTGTTCCATCCCTGGATCATGAGCAGACAACACATTAGCCTCCAAAGTGGCCACGGACACTCTTTCTGCTCAGCTTACCCCTGTGAAGCTGCAGAGTTGACAAGGAGGGGCAGGGACAGCCGGCTGGACAGCAGCAACCTCAAGGTGTTCTCTCCCGTTGTTTGTTCACCAGTGGTTGTGACTCGTGTCTGCCAATGGAGGGATGCCAGCACTCCCCTTCTCATGGATGCTGAGCACCCACGATGCTGCCGAGGGACTCTTCTGTTCAAGAGGCAATCGCTGCTGCTGGCTGGGGCAGGCCCTCTTTGCCTGCCTTTAGTCTCAAACACTACAAAGTGTGAGCCTCTGTGGCCCAGCCCCAACATCCCTGAGGTGTGCTGGGAAGAAGAAGACAGAGCTGGGGACCATGTTCTGTGCCATCTTCTACCTGTGATTGCAGTGTTGTGTATTTGCCTGAAGTTGGTGGCCAGTGGAGCAAATTGCTAATGGAGCCACGGCCAACTAGCTTTATATGTAGTATCCTTCCTAAATGTTCCCTGTCAAACCGTGCCATATGGCAGCTTGGAACCCCAAGCAGTCCATAATCATAAAATAACCAGCCAGGAGAGCACTGATCCTTCTTGGTCCCAGGCCCCTTTCATCTTCATATTGAAACTTTACAGTGTAGTATCATTTCCTACTTGGCCTCACTTCCGGCTCTTACATCTTCCTGCCTCCCCAGTCTTCTTTCTGCAGCATTAATGCTTGAATTGGGCATAGTGATGTCTGGTTTGCCCTTTTTCAGTAACAGTTCTGTTGGGACAGCTGGGGATTGAGGCCACAAGGGAGCAGAAAACCTGAGAGGACTTGACTGGAAAGGTGATTGGTGCATAGGTCTCGGAGCCAGGCAGCCATTGGGTGACTTTTGTGTGATTCCGAAATATTGTTGTATTCTGAGCTCACTGCTGAGTGATGCGATGGATATTATTTGCCTGTATAGTAACTGGTGTTTCTAGCCCGTTTTGTGTCTCCCAGGCCCCTCCATGTAAAAGAGTGGAGAGAAGCTGTCAAAGAATAAGACTGACAGGGGAACTGTGGCTGCCGTGAATGAAGGGGCCCTGACATTGGTGGGGGCAGCTGACCTGTGGCGTTTGGGCAGAGTCTTCATTCATAGAACTCGCCTGCACATCTGCAGAAGTCTGTGTCTTATGACTCCATTGTAATTGTGCCAATCAGATTAAGGTTGGAGAGTATATATATACTTAATGCTCCCCTGTAAAAACATCTACCCCGCACATGGAAAATGTCTGCATGGAGAAGAAGAGTAGCTAAAATCCTTCTCCCTGTAATGTATTCTTCATGTAAGGAACTCTTCTTTGGTGCACAAAGCTGGGGTGCATTAAGAAAATACTTCTTACACCATACCGAGCCAACATGTGTTTTCCTGTCACAGTGTCAGACGTATGATAAGTGCAACAGTTTGTCCTCACTTGAAGGGGGATTAAAAATGGCTAACATTTTCTCCCTCGCCTTCAACCTTTCCTGCCTCCTTGGGTGTATAGATAATCAGAGAAAGAAGAGAAGGTGGGGAGAAAAAGTAAGAATTCACCCCCTCCCCGTTATCTTGACCAGGTTTGGATGTATGAAGTCGTTGTATCCTTGGTTGTCCTGCATTTGCCAAATCGCTCTGTGGGCTGCAGGGGCTTTGGGAGATTCTGGCAAGGTACCTGTTGTTTATTTTTGGAGTAGCCAAATGTCCTGACTAAATTTATGCTCTCTTCCTCAGCAGAGGTGGGATGGGGGCCAGTATCCTATTGAGCTTCCGCTGAGTGCACTGTCATGCCAGCACTCTCTTATGCTTTGCTGTGGATAGTAGCACGTGGGGTTGTACCACTTGCACACTTGTTACCATTGCACAAGCAGTGATCTTCATGAAAAAGAGGCTCCGTCCTCCGCTGGCACAACGGCAACATTTGCACATGCAGCCTGATCCTGCATCACGTACGCTGGCAGACGTTTCTGCACAGCAGAGCTCGGTAGGATGCTAGCCAGCTCGGTGTTCTTGAGCACATCCTCTTTGCTTGACTAGAATGCCCGTTTCCCCCTTGTCACTCGGTCTGTGTGGCTTCTTTCTTTCCAACTGCACACAACGGGAGGCAGGAACAGGAAAACGCGCCTCTGACACTCCTTGACGGTGTTGCAACATTTCTGCCCGGGACAAGGTTGAAAACTACTGCCACACTCACTGTCAATCAACTCTCAACAGCATTGCAACCATCTTGTCTGGGTTGTCTTTTCTAATGTACTGTGTCAAATGGCCCTGGGGAGCAGGATGATCCTGGTTGCCTGGAGGCTTCAGTGTTCCCCTCTGATCTCAACAATGAAGGCATTGGAATTTGTTTGGAGTGTCGTGTTTGTTGCCTTTACTAAACTCCTGTTCTCAGCATTGGGCTCATACCACAGCTAGGCCTTTTTTCTCTCCTACTTCTACATGTGGTTCAGTGTTTCCTTGAACTGCCTCCTTTGCGGTAAAACAAAAGATCGTTTACCTACTTGAGGTATAGATTTTCCAGGGCATTGCCCTTTCAGTACGAACAGAAACCAAACCAAAGGCCATCAGTTGTGTCATATCAGCAAAATGGCTACTTGAGGTATAGATTTTCCAGGGCATTGATTGCCCTTTCAGTAGGAACAGAAACCAAACCAAAGGCCATCAATTGTGTCATATCAGCAAAATGGTAGGGATATGCACTGCTGGCTGTGATCAGGCCTTGTTTACAGCATCTCCTTCTTGTGATTTGGTATATTATTAAAACCTGTGTGACAAAATTGGGGTGAAGGGTTCATCACACCCTTAAAACTAACAGATATATTTCAGTGCAAGCTTTTGCAGATTTTAATCTAGAAGAAATGAAATCTCTTAGTCTTAAAGATGCCACAAGGCTCTCTGCTGGAGTAAAACAACACATCTTCCTCTCAAAACCTATTGAGGAGGGGTTAGGTCGATGAATGCCTAAAATGAACTGGCAGTAATATATTGCAGAAATCACAGTAGAATAAGTGTCTGCCGTTGGGACTGAGAAAAGTGTGGTTGGTGTTCTGTATTCTGAGCGATAACATAGAGGAGGCCAGACTTCTGCTATGGGGATAAATGCTTTATTGACACTCTGGATCTGATGTCTAAGACCTTCACTCATTTTGCCAGGCAAAGCACGACATCCCAGGCAGCAATCCTGTCCTGGTCCGAGTGAGGCTTGCTCTTCCTGGGCAGCTCAGCTCGTTCAGGAATTGCCCGCCTCTGCGGTTGACTGGGAAGTTGCAGCGGCACCCATACAACTAACTAGCTGTTAACATGTATAACACTGAATACAGTGAAAGAGAAAAACAAAGAGTCCATTCTCTTCCTTGAGGCTGCTGCCTTGAAATAATACTCTTTGCTAGTGCGAAAGGGAGGGGCACATTTCCAGTTCTTCAGCGCAGGGGGAAGTGGGAGGGCATACGTAGTTGCATTCAGTATGGATAGCTGTGCGCCCTGCCGAATAGGCCCTGTTCAGGATCATTTTGCATCAGGAGGACCTGTGAGAAACGAGGCCAATCCTGATTCACCCACATGTTCAGTGGCTCTCAGTTCCTGAGTGGTTGTGTAGCAAGTGCCCCATTATATGTGAGAAGACTGGAAGGTGGCCTTGCCTAAATAGAAAAAGCCCATGTCTGAGGGTTTTCTGGCCCAGCAAAGAGCAGGGTCCTGGGCTATAGGAATTGTATTGATCCAGCCTGTCAGCCAGGTGCAGGAGAACTGGAGTGGTGATTTTACTCCATCCAAAGTGGAAGCTTATGCTGCTGCACAGCTGTGGCTTCGGGCCTTGAGGTGAGTGGCCCACCGAGAACAGCCGCTTGTGTGCGCATGGAGTGGGTGGGCTTTAGTGGGCGTCCGCCAGGGAGAGAGACTGCAGGCCTTCTTCCAGTTTAGAGTCCTCCCGCCCACTGTCCAGCGCCTCCATCCCTTCAAAGCAGCCCGAATCTCGAGGGATGTCCTCCTTTGGCTCTCCAAGGACAAGTTGTGCCTCCACACTTCCTGCGTCTTCGTCGGCATCACTGCTTGCTGCGGGGGGAGGGGGGGAAGAGAAGACACCAGCTGTCACAGGATGGCCTCGTGAGCTCTTGTTTGCTGCCTTTGGGAGGGATGGGGGTCAGTAAAAGAGACAGCCTTAGACCAGACTGTCTAGCACTGTCTATTCTTTGGGGGGGGGGTTGTCTAGAAATCCACAAACATCTGGAGGGGGGTCTCCCAGGCTTGGGGACTATTGGTCTCTTAACTGGCAGCAGCTGCTTAGGGTTACACACAGCATGGATTTCCTCTTCTCCCCTACTGCTTGATCCTATCTTATGGGGGAGAGACAAAGGATTGAACCTGCTCCCCTTTGCATCTAAAGCAGCCCAAGAGAAGAGACAATCAGCCATTTCTGGAGCACTTACTGTCATAATCCAGCAGTAGATCAGCTGCTGTGAGCAGTTTGGCACGGTGCTGTGGGTCAGTGATGTTCAGTTCATTCAGGTGGGTCTCCTGCAGTTCTTTGAAGTCTTCTAAGGTCTGGTAGCCATTCAGGAGCAATGTGGAGGTGTGCTCCTGCGCCCAGGGGCGGAAGGGAGAAAGGAGTTAACCCAGTATGTTGATTGGAATCAGTCAATTGGGCTTATCTGACAATAGGCTGTGGGCTTTGTGTGCTTCCATTATTACCAAAGAAGCAATGACACGTCTCCCTCCAATATAGGCATACAATATATATGAATGATATTGAACAAGGCAGGCAGTTTGAGTTATGAAGGTGATAGGTTCCATCTGTTAAAGAGGGCTTGCTGAATTGGATCTTGTGGACTTCCTCCCAAACCAAGGGGTCTTGGATTGCTTTCCTAGTACTAAGAACAACAACAACAGTTTGCAGGCTGTGGAAGGCACTTCATAGATCGCCCACGACACACCAGAGTGACACTACTTGCAAGGTGCTTAGGGAAATGTACGCAGTGGCTTGTAGAGCCACTCACCTTGTCGTGAGTGGAGTGTTGGGCAGGGGAACTTATTTTTTCCCCAAATTAATGTGGAACTCCACACAAGGGTGCTGCCTTCTGATATCAGACAGGCCTGTGCAAAAGGTTTTGAGACGATGCCTTAAAGGAGGAGGGAGAGACAATGGCCCTTTGGGGAAAATGGACAGCCTCAAAAGTGGGTCATAAAGAGGGAAAAGATTTCGGAGTACTAAATGGCAACCTCCTGGGTAAATTGTGCCCTTCTACACTTTGGGAATAGACTCTGATCCACTGGAGCGCAGCAGCAGCACCTCTTTTTGAACATACACAGAGAGGTTCAAACTTACACTTGCCATGCACTTGTGCAAAATGCAATAGCTTTCTTGGAATACTAGTTAGAAGGCAAATTGCCACATGAATCATACATAAATGAATCCAAGCCATTAAAATTCAGAATTGGCTCCTGTACCCAAAAACATCCAACTTTCTCAGCAGTAGAAAGCCAATTAATTAGCAAAGCTACTGTGGATTCTCCAGAAGCTTCAAATGCTCAGTTTGATTGTACATATACTGTACATTAGCTTAGACTGCCAGGCTCCTATTTGCACAGTGTAGGGTTGGAAGACCTTTTGCCTCTTGGTTGCTGATGAACTACTGCTCCCATCATCCTTTATCTCCTGTGAACAGGACATGAAATATCTGGACATGAAAGGTATTGCTGATGAACTACTGCTCCCATCATCCTTCATCTCCTGTGAACAGGAACTGCAGTCTTTGGAAAAGCGGAGGTTTGCCAGCACTTTCATGGTGCAAATGAAGTTGGGGGTTAATCCTGCTTGCTAGCATTAGGTCTTCAGTTTCTTAATACATGCAGGGGTGGGTTCTACAAAATAGCCCTGAGTTTTATGGCGAGACAGAAGTCCACGGGGACTGGAGTAAATCCAACAGTATCTTGTGACATCTTAATTACCATTTGGTTTTGCATACTTTTGTTTTCATGGATTTGTCCAAGGTCGTACATATTTATCTCAAAGCTGTTTGATCCCAACATTCTCCCATCTTTTGTTTTCTGCACAACATAATGCACGTCTGCCAAATGAGGATACAATTTCAAGGATCTGATGAAGCAAGCCCAGTGCAACCGAAGCTTAGACTCTTAACAGTGGAGAAACCTGCCTGATCAAGATCAAAGATTCTGTCCCCCAGAAAGCTCACAAGGAGCATGTGGGCTGGACAGTGAAAATGAGAAACCTTTGATCCTCCCACAATTCCTCACATTAACTATGCTGTCTGGAATTTTTGTGTATTGAGTCCAAAATATTTAGAGGGTTAAAGAGGGAGACTCTCTTCTCTATATGGTATATAGACCGGCAATTGCTCCCCAGAGTCTGAAAAGGGATGTCTTTTCCCGGCCTCCCAGGAAATGCTTAGGGATTGAAAATTGGACCGTCTGTACGTCAAAGGTGCTCAGCTGCTGAACTGAAGCAGCTTTCTTGTTTCACACAGCGGTGTCTCAGGCCTCAGCTGGCAGGAAAACGTCCTTACCTCCAGATTGATGCGTTCCAGCAGTTCATGCAAGGTCTTAGGTTTGGGCCTCTTACTCCTGCTGCGTGAACAGCTCTTCGCTACCGGCGCCGGCTCCTCTGGGATGACATTCACGTAGATGAACTTGAAGGAGCCTACTTTGTTGTTCAAGAGGCCCGTCCAGGTGCCCACAGGAGGCTTTGCAATGATGTGGATGACGTCCCCTTTCTAGGCCAAACAAGAAGTGGTTACACCTTTCAGTCGCATCCTTATCAGGCTTTGCCTTTCCATACCAAGCGGCTGGAATATGGGGTCCAACAGCCAGGGTAGCAGGAATAGAAAGCTAACCTCCACCTACTGTATTTGTTCAAGAGGCCCGTCCAGGTGCCCACAGGAGGCTTTGCAATGATGTGGATGACGTCCCCTTTCTAGGCCAAACAAGAAGTGGTTACACCTTTCAGTCGCATCCTTATCAGGCTTTGCCTTTCCATACCAAGCGGCTGGAATATGGGGTCCAACAGCCAGGGTAGCAGGAATAGAAAGCTAATCTCCACCTACTGTACTCTGTCTACTCTGGGTGAAAGGAGCATTTTGGTGACCCACAGGTTTGTTACTGCCCTGTTGTGACTTTTAATCACAGATTAGCCTTTGGCCTGGATGTGTCTTGCCTTGTTCTTCGCACTAACACTTCCTGTTTTGAGATGCAAATTCAAGGCCTTGGGGAGGCAAAAGGCCTTGGGAATTTCAAGCAGCTCAGTCTTTGAAACACAGAGCTTGAACATCTTGTTTCTAAAACTACAATTCCCAGCAATCACGACTGAGGGATGTAGTCAAAAAAATCTAAGAATTTGGGGCATTAAGAGATGGAGGGGTACATGGCCTGTGGTAGGGGATTTCCACAATGTACAGTAATGTAGGATTATGGGCCTTGTAGTCCAAATCATCTGGAGAGCCATGTGCATCTTGTTATGTGCTGCCAAGTATAAACTGACTTCTTATAGCAACCCTAATAGGGTTTTCAAGGTAGGTGAAGTATTTAAGGAATGGTTTTACCAGTTCCACCCCTGCAGTGAGTTTCCATGGCAGGGCTGAGGAATCAAGCCCCTGTCTCCTGAGTCCTAGTCCATTCCTCTATCCACTACACCACACTGAGTACCATGTGCATCTTTGTGCTGGTCTACATCTACAGTGGCCCAGCATTTTTCATCCTTTGGCAGAATGGATTTGCCTTCAAATACCACAAGGGCTGGTAAATATTTGGACATGAAAGACATATTCGCATAGTAGTGAGAGAAGTCTCTTGTGTCGGAGGGAGCCAGCCATAGCATCATTCACATAATTTTACGGGAAGTGCAAATATTGCCATTGCCATCCATATCTAACCAGTATTTCTGCTGGCTCTCCTCCATGCCGTGGCACAAAAATCCATTAATCAGGGAAAGATAGGGTGGCTCCGCAAGCCATTGTAACTAACAGATATCCATCTGGGAACAGCAACACCAAAATGTTCCAGAATTACCCACCTGAAGCTTGAGGGAATCTTTGTCGTACGGACTGGGAACAAAATCTGTGTGGACCCTAGCTTTTCCACAGAAAGGGCCGCTGTATGGTGTGGGGCTAGGTTCTTCTGCTTTCTTGCTGTTGTGGGTGCTCCCCATCAATCTGGGACTAGACGGGTCATCTCCTATACAGAGAACAAATTCAAAGAGGGTTCCATTTTCCTTCCAGCCACTAGACACCACTGCCATTTGGCTTCAAGGGACTACCCCGCCTCCCCACTTAGCACAATGTCTATTTTTAATTGCCAGCTTTTCTAAGAAAAGGGCTGCCTTTTTACTCTGTGCTCGTGTTCTAAATTCAGGAGCCTGTGTGCTTTAGTGAAGGCAAAGCACAGCTGACTAAGGTTTGCAAGGAGCCATTTGCCTCCAGCAGAGGAGAGCAAAGTGACCTTGTAGAGCAGTGGTTCCCAACCTGGGGTAACCCAGGAGTTCCTAGACTTCAGCTCCCAGAAATGCCAGCCAGCATAGCTAGTGGTGAGGGCTTCTGGGAGTCGCAGTCCAAGAACACCTGGGTTATGCAGGTTAGAAACCACGGTTCAAGAGGTTTTCGGACTGCAGCGCGCTGGCGATGTTTGTTAGGGCTGATGGAGGTTGCAGTCAGACAATATTTGCCCACCCTGGTATCTCATTACCTTTTGTCACTGAAACTCCTGTGGGTCAACCCACCTTTTGAGACATCATCACTACCTCTGGACAGTTCTGTAGACTACTTGGCCTGTATCCTATTGCTTAAATCCAAAGTGGAAGGGCAGTTGCACAAACCTCTCCCTGTTGTCATGCTGGTTGTAAGGTTGGGCCCATGGACAGGAAGCCTGCCAAACTGGGTGGGGGGAATGAGGCTTATGCGGCTGCATTTCGGCAATCGGATCCTGGCCTCCATTTTCTCCCCAGTCTCCTAAAATGTGTACCATCTTGCCTGCCCAATGAGACATCCTGAAGAACTGAAAAGCTTTCCATCTTTGTGACAACTTTAGTGATCTTAATTTGAGTGCAATACGGGACCCTGAATTTGGAAACTGCCTCATGGAAATCCCCCACACTTTTTCTTCTGCATCTGACGAATATCGTTCAGGACATTCTGCTGGGTTTCACTCCTCATTCGCCTCTGCCAGCACATCCAGTAACGAAGGATTGTGGAAGATGTAGTCCAAGTGCACCTGGAGAGCCTCCTTTTTCATTTCTGTTTTATCTCAAATCTCCCAGGATGGGAGTGAAGGCAACAGTGAACGAAGGATTGTGGAAGATGTAGTCCAAGCACACCTGGAGAGCCACTGATAACCCCAACCCTTTGTTTTGGCCCTGAGAAAGTAGAAGAGGCTGATTTCTCCCTAGATTACCAAATGCCATACTTGTGGGGCCTGGAAGGAGAACTCCTTGAACAGCTTCCTTCCTTATCATTTTTGTTTTATCTCAAATCTCTCATGATGGGATTGAAGGCAACAGTCCCCTTTCAGCTGTTGCTGGACTCCAGCAATCATCACATCCAGACACAAGAGCCATGGATGATGGGAGCTGTGATCCAGCAATATCAGGAAAGCCACAGACCCTGCTTTAAATATATACATTGGTACCTAAAATGTTTTTGCTGAGGCACTAAATCGGGATTGGATCGAACTGCTTTGGATTCTGTGTTAACAACTGAATTCCCCTCCTTTCTCAAATTCCTGTCCATAGGCCACGAGTGTATCAGGGAAAGTGTCTATATGAAACCCTTTCCCATTACATTTCACTATTTGTATTGGAGGAGCTGGTTTTCGATATTGGGTGAAGCCTTCTATGAGGCCCTGCCTGAAGTATGAAGCCCAGAACCATGTTGGTCACCTCTGAGTAGAGCTTAGAAGAATTCATTTTTTGGATCAGAATTCCCAGGACTACCATGGCCAGCTTGATCTGAAAGGTAACTTTTCGAAACGCTGCCTCTGTGAACACGCTTGGGCTTAGCTAGCCTTCCGGTTGGGAACGATGGAGAAGGAAGACCCACACACCAGTTGGGGTCTGAGGGCTGTCAGTCTCCTCTGCTGCTTCTGGAAATGTGGGGGCTTCACCCTCAACAGGGCTGATGAGAGGAGACGCCACTGCCTTGCTGTCAGAATCTCCCTGCAATTAGAAAAATATGACACGGTGATGAGCTGTGCCCATATTTTTTTTCTCAGAGCAAAAGCAGCGTCCTGCTTTGTGATTGTTTGGAGTCATTTCCTTGCCCCTGTTTCAGAGATCGGAAAAATTACTTTTTTGAATTACAACTCCCCCTATCTTCTAGTCGTCAGGGCCAATAGCTTTCTGATGGAAATCTTTTCCAGCTGAGCAACTTTTAAAGGTGTGGTGTTGAGAGGAATTGAACCTGGGTCTGTGAGCATGCAGAGGACTGGCACCAAAATAGCAGGGGATATAGCAGGCATTGTGTCAGAATAAACGTGTCAGAAGCAACAGGGTCTGTTTTTCGAAAGCAGGAGCAAGAAGTAAAAGTAAAATGGCACCCCCTAAGCTGCCATCAGTACCAGAAGGGAAAGCCAGAGTTTTCTTTTTAAGGTTGCTATCAGAACTTAGAAGAGTTACTTTTGGCCATGCTGGTCGGGGTTTCTGGGACTTGTGGTAAAAAATAAAATAAAATCACCACCACCACCCCTCAGCTTTTGCTAAAAGTGGATTGAAGGAACCCATTGTAGCAGGTGACATGGTCCAATCTTATTTCCTCTTACAACATTATGCTTTCAGGCCCAGAAATATTTCTGTGCTTCCCGCCTGTGACATCAGACATGCAAAACATAGCTGTGCTATTTCCCAACGGACTAATTACTAAGCAAAAGCAATTTGGCAAATGCAGAGGAGGCTGGTGGGCACATCTGGCCACAATTTTCAGGAACTTTTAATGTTTTTTATTTCTGCACCATCTACAGCCCCATGGTGCCCAGCCTGACGAAGGACCTACCTGTACAGGGCTGAAAGCTAACTTATGTTTACTGTTTTTAAGTGGCCTCTGTGAGGGGAACATCGGTGAGGATGCCTCTGGTGGGCCATTGGAGCCCAGCCCGGGCCCCGAAGAAAACAGTGTGCCCGTCTTGAAAGGGAAATAGAGCAGAAGGAGCCACGAGCCTGAAGGACTATGAAACACAAACCCACAAACAGAGGCATTAGCAGCTGGAACGACAGGGGAAGCCCTGTGGATGTGGGCCGCTTGGCCAACCTAGAGTGCCCCCTGGAGGCGGGAAAGGACACGGGCGCTCCCGAGGAGGTGGAAGATCTCAAAAGAGGTGGAGGAGATATTTGGTGGGAGTGAAGGAAGAGGCAGGACAACTGCTCTCGGAAGAAGGAGCCTGGGGAGATGTCCAGGAGGAACTAGGGGGTGGGTTCCAGTTGAAGATGACGAGGACAAGGAGGAAAGACCAGAACCCCCCCCTCCCCAGGTGGTTGTGAATGAGGATCCCTGGACAGAGTTCCTTGTAGAGCTAGGGGGTGCCTAAAGGAGAGGGTGTGAAACCTTGACCGCAGGCAGGGAGAACCGACCCCAATTTAGCTGGACCTTGGAGGTGGAGACAGCAACAACAACCTCCAGAAAGAATAGCCTCGGGAGGCAACCCCAACCCACACTGCTTGTGGTCCCCAAGGACACCATGTGCCCTGCGCCCATTGTGGCCCCCACTTTTGTGGGGAAACTGTGGACTGTGAAACACCCCCCAGGGCTGTCAGCTTGGAGGAAAGAAGAGGCAGTACTGAGTTAGGGCTAGTGCATATAAGAAGGCAACCGGTTGCTGGAGAACAAGTACATTGAAAGCCCTACCCAAGTTGCAATGACTCCTCTTTCATTGGCTACATCTTGTGTCGAGTCCACAAGGTGGAAATGGAAGAGGGAGTCCCCTGCCAGTGGGGCTGGAGCTCCCCAGCTAGAGCTCACAGCCTCATAAAGAGATCACTCGCCCCTGCCTTCAGGTTGCCTATCGGGACTACACAGCTTCTGTCTCTTTTCTCTTAACAGTATAAAAACAAGAGGGAACTCGGATATGTTGCCAAAAGCTTCTTCCAATAATGGGTCACTCGATCTCACACTTGAAGAAACCAGACAGCTGGGCAAGCATGAGTTTTTGGCGAGTATAGAAGGAGCTTCTGACCCAAAAGTCTTCCGATCATTCCTGTTCTGGATATGAAGTCCCAGAATCCAGTGGCTGTAGTAGTCCAAAAAAGTAACTCTTCCAAAGTGTGAGCCAGTCTCAATAGTCAACACTCCCTATACATGTGGAGGTTCATTTCCCATAACAGCGGTGTTGACCCTAGAGTCCGCTTGGCCTGGCCTTCCTCCTTCCAGATGATCTCCAAATGTAGGCGGAGATCAGATCAAAGAGAAGGCACAGCGCTCTCTGGACAAGGATGCCGGCTGGGACTACAGTTAGAGGGTGAGACCCGTGAGGAGTATATCTTGCCTAAACCCCACCCGCACCCTGGTCTTTGGAAGTGTAGACCAGACACTTACCTCCCCTGCCAGTGCTTTGGCTGCTGCCTTGCCCATCTTCCGGTTCATAGTGCGAGAGATGGCAGCTCTCCATCTTTTGCCCAGTTTCGAGTTGCTGCTTCGTCCCGTGTCATCAGGGCTGGGCAGTGAGTTTGTCTGGCTGCTTTCAGGGATCTGGACAGAAAAGCAACAGGTTTGGACCCTTTAGGGGGGAAAGTGGGGTGATTCTCCATTTGAGGCGTGGGGCTGATGTGAAACATGCTCAGACGGGTGGCCCTTTTGTAGCCTTAAGTGGGTGGGCACTCAGCATCCGAACATGGGAAAGTTACTTTGTGGACGGCAGCATCCAGAATCCCCCAGCCGGCACGACCAGGGGCTCATACAGGCTAGGGAATTCTGGGATTTGTGATCAAAAAGTTATTTTCTTAAGATCTGCTCAAAATCACACGAAAAGAGCTGCCATTCTGCCGGGTTAAGAAAGGTTGGGCCAGATGAGGAATACCTAGCAGGATGATTCTGATGCCCGGCTGTAATATGTAGTGGAGCACGGTGGCTGATGACACTAGTGGCCATGGTCAGGACCCCAAGTAGAGTCCAAAAATGCAGGCACCCATGTTGATCTATGTCAGCCGGAGAACGTACAAAACCCAGGGTCATTTTTGTAGCCCCTAAGTGTCCCCCTACATACTAGGGGAAAAAATCTGCAAAATATAATTTTCGGGTTCTAGAAGCTCTAGAGGCAATAAAACTGGGTTCAGGACATGCCAAACATCCCTCTCAAACCCCCCAAATTAAGACTGGAAGTGAACTTTTAGCAACATTGCTGTTATTATTGTTGTGATGCTTATTTATTTGGTTGTGGGAAGGATGATCTTCTGTGGGTTGGAAACCTGGTCCCAGGTTTCCTAAAGTGCCCACCCAGATATGTATAAACACATCAGTTTTAGCAGTTTCATCTCCACCAAGGCTGTACGAAAGGACTTTGTATTACAACCTGCAGTGCTTGCAGCAATATATAGTAGCAATGAGAGAGAGAGAGAGAGAGAGAGAGAGAGAGGGATGATGATGATGATGATGATGATGACACTGCCGCCGCCATTGTTCTGATGACACAAACGTCAGACTCTCCAGTTCTCCCAAGCCCTGGTTCAACTGTACCATCATCGCTCAGGAATATGTCTTGAGACAGAGGGGGTGTGATCATAGAGGACAAAAAAGTTTGCAGTCCGTTTGCATCCAAAGGGCGTTGCATTGCTGGGAGCTTTAAACGTGTGTGTGCGCGCGCTGGCAGGGCCCCTGGCAGGGCATTGGCTCCCAGACACCAAGCAAGGTGGGTGAGGAGCAGGAGCACCTGGTCTGGGCCAGGAAGGAGGACCGCCACCAAGGAGAAGCCCCTGCAGAGGGATGAGGTAGAGGGAGCTTCCCTACCGCTGGCGGGGGTGGTGGTGGCAAGAGGAGGCATGCAATTCATGCGCCAGTGCTGTCCTCTAGGACTCCCCCGTGGAGGCCACCCCCTCTGGAAGACGCCAGAGACTTAAGGGCCCCAGTGGGATGAACGTAGGGCCCAGAACTGTCCTGGATGACTTCGGCTCAGCAGACTCTGCAGAAGGGAAGCAAACTCCTGCTGTTGTTGCTTCCCCACCCTCTGTTAGAATGAACCTTGTTGAAACCAAGTTGGGCTGTGTGGAGTTCATGGATGTGGTTTGCCTGCTGACCCCATTAGGGGTGGTGGTAGTAGTGGTAGTGCTCAACCCCCCCACCCAAAAAAGAGAGTATTCCTGTTGCTGAGCCAGAAAGGACACAGGCTGGTTTGTGATCTCATATACACTGCTAGGAAATAGTTTGCACCAGATCAGGCCATAAACAGTCCAAAATGGAAGCTATTTTCCTATCTGATGGCACCCAGAATCGGACTGGCTCCTAAAGGGGATTCGGATGGTGGAGGAATCAGAGCAACTAGACTGGAGAGGGTGGCAAGAGAGAAAAGGGAAGAGACATCGGGAAAGCGAGAGGTTGGCAAGCAAAGGCACTGGTTCACGTGACCGATGTAGGTCGGTAGAGGAGCCCAAGGGGCAATATGGGCTTCCCCCACTGTGGCAGGAGCCAGAAGCCTGAGTGCTCACCTCCTCTTCCAGATTGAATTCCTTCTCGATGGCCAGAGGTGAGCTGGGTTTCGATTTGCCAAAGTCCTTGAAGCTGCTGGACCGCTGCAGTGAGAGCTAATGGGGGGAGGAGAGAGAGGAAAAGACAGATGTGAATTGCAGAGCAATAGAGATGAGCAGAAAACACATCATGTAAACTTACACCGAGAAGATATGTATGGGAAAGAGAGAACCTTTTTCCTATTGGGGGCCAACAACCTATGGGGAAAATAACTTAGGTCTGCCTTTATAGGTACTGTGTATGGAGCCACTGACAAAAACAGGTAGGACCAGAGTCAAATGTCATAGAGTTTAGACAGATGGAAGACTGCGTAGATGTTTTGATCTCTGTCACACCATCCTTTCTCTGCTTGTCTGTTGCAAGTCAGATACATACAGCTGAAGTCATTTCCAGAAAGACAGTAAAATGTCTGTGTTACTCAAAGAAAAAAAAATGCAAATTGATCCATTGTGAACGGGCATCCAGGAAGTCCGATTTCTGTGAGTGGATTCATTAGGCCAGCCACATAGGAGTCATCAACAGAGAGAGAAGGAAATTGGCAATCACCCCCTTGTTTGCAGTTTATTTAGGCAACTTCTGCTGTAACTGTCCAGATTTGCTGGAGGCATGGCTACAGCTGTCTTAAGGAGCTGCAAACAAGGGCTGATCCCCATTTCCTCTTCCTTCTCTCCTAGCTTCTGTCTGGTTGGTGAAAGGAAATGGACTTCCACCAGCTGGTCCTTGTAAACAAGGGCTGATCTCTAGTTTTATCCTCATAATCTGGGTCTCTCTCTTTCCTGTTTTGTTTTATTACCAAGCCTTTAAATAAATCATAAATTGTTTTATGACAAGGGATGCTCTGAGGAGACCTGACACACTCTGAGTGCCCCTTTGATTTTTCTCTCCCTACCTTGAACTAGGAGACTGAGAGAGCCAGCTCTGTGCATGGCCACCCATTCAGCTATGAAGCTGAATCCGCACAAGTGATCACACCACCTCCACCAATGTGAATTCATTTGATTGGGGGCAGGGGGAAGTAGAAGCTCCAACAAGGGTGAAATAAAATACAGATTGGGAGGGGAACCCCTGGGCTCATTCACATTGAGTTATGCAGTCAATGGAAAATAATACAAATGCACCTGTCTTAATCCTGGAGCATTTTCTGTATTATTTGTCCATGTAGTTACCCCCTCAGATAGCAAGAGCGGGCCTGCTGGGGACCCCGGAATTCTCCACCCCAATCCTATTGGAACTAAATCTGTAGCTGAAACAGAATCAGAAGGTAAATCAGGGTCTACTGGTAGATGCATACATGCAGTAAATTAGGAAGGTTTTTTTTCTAACTGTCAGTAATTATAATGTCAATGACAAAAAGCTGGGGGAGGAGGTACACAGAAAGGTTTGTGTTCCAGCTCCAGTAATAGGACTGGGTGAAAAAATAAATAAATCCAGAGGCATCTTATTCTGCAACTGTTGATCTGGTATTTGACATGCATCTCTCTGAGAGTTTTTCTTGCAAAAACAAGGTAGATCCTATCTCATTAAGTCTGAAATCTGCCCACTCGGGTGCTGTTGTGTTTCAAACGCTTCTGCTCCTTGAAGGAATGCCCAGTCCCCAACTTCTTCAAGGATCAGGACCATATAGAACAGGACCAGAGTCCTTCTATTTCTACCGGAAACGTGAGTCATTTGTTTCTAAATTTATACCTATAAGCAGCAGAATAGTGGGGCCAGGTCGCATAATTTTAAAGCCCTGGGATTTTCTGGGATGGTGTCAAACCCAGTCAGGCTCCCTTGTTTCCTTTAGCTAAGCCTAAATTTTGAGGAACAGTCTATAGTTGCAAGTTCTTATTGCACTGCAAAGCAGCTTAGGAAGGTCCGGCTTTAGAAGAACAATTAAGATCCATAAAGTTTATAAAAGATCTGCTGCTCAATTGTTGACAGTGATACTGTCACGAGACAGTACTTTTGCATAATCCTTGGTAAGGGAACTGGTTATGGTGATTGCCAAAACGAGTACTTGTACTTCCAAATTTGCTAGTACAGCACACGCAATTTGGATGCAAATGGGTATTCCTTTTTTGGGGGGTGGCTCAGTGGACAAACCAAGGATGTGATTAAACAGGAAAATAACTCACATTTTGGACTGCTTGAGGAATAGTCCAATATGAGCTATTTTCTGATGATCACACAACCTACAGGAAATAGTGCTCCAGCCTGACCCCAATCCATGCCCAACTTGGGGGTCAGCCCGAGTGATTCCTTGACAGACAGAAGGGATCAAGGGAGCGCTCTCCCTGCAAAGCAACCCTTTCCGGTGCAATCAGACACACACCTTTCCAGGAGTAAAACGGACACTTCACAACTTAGAAGCAGAAATGGGCTTCAGCAGTTATGTGTGGTCTGTTTTTACAAACACAGCAGTTTTGAAACTGTCCATCTGTTGTGGTTCTGAGTCACAGATAGGCAATCCTGGGCCATGAGCTGCATAGCACACCCCCACTTGCAACTGTATTTGTGGCCTCTGCGGCCCCTACTCTTAGCTATCTCCCCCCCCCATCCTCAGGAACCATGTCTTATCTGCCCTGCATCTCGCTCACTCCTTTTGTCAGGTTGCTCAACACGTCAGCCCTCGAGATCAGCAATAAAGGGAGGAAGTGGGTTAGCTCCTCCAGAAACTGAAACACCTGGGAGAGCAACAAGGGCCCTTGTGTTGGGGGGGCGGCGGCAGGATGGGGCACTTCCTGGCTTCTCAGCAGTTGAAGTGTATAGAGCAAAGGGTGCACACATCTGAGGTCTGAAAATGCAAATGTATATGGACCAGTTAGCAGGCACATAAGAGAGGCGGCATTTATAATCTCCCTTTGCTGTCTTCACACAATCCCCTCCCGTGTCCTAGAACAGTGGTTCTCAAACCGGGGTCCCCAGGCGTTCTTGGACTGCAATTCCCAGAAGCCTTCACCACTTGCTGTGCTGGCCAAGTTTTCTGGGAGTTGTAGTCCAAGAACATCTGGGGACCCAAGTTTGAGAGCCCCTGTCTAGAAAGCACACCAGAAGCTATTGACCAAGTCTGCAGCATCTCTTCCTTGGCGGAAAACAGGACCCATCAGCCTGTCACCTCTCATCTCGTCTGCAGCAGGCATTGGCCACACTTGCAAAAAGTGGTTTGAATTCAGGCAGGCAGATTCCTCTTTTTTTTGTTGGCACCATGAAAGCTTGCAAGCCTGGTTCTTCCAAAGGGTAGCCCAAGCAGAATTCAAGTATTAAGCCATGACAGCTCTTCTCTGACAAAGCTAGTTGTCTTGCTTACAGGGCACGTGGTCTTAACACTGCACAAAACCACACAAGCTACAACTCATATCATCAAACGCTAAGTAAGTGGTTCAAAATAAATGCATTGGTTAAATTGGGCGGTTGCCTAGCAAAGCTAAGAGCACAGGCGCTGATGCTTTGAGGGTTTCTTTCCTTTCATCTGCTCGTCAAGCTCACCCTGTTTTTAAAGAATGAAAAAATATATATGCAAACTTCCATCTTTGCAAATGCAAGACTGTCATGTTTCTCTTAACTCTTCTGCTCTGCTTAAGGTTGTGCCTTACACTGGAAAAGACCACATCTGGAGTACATCTTTTTGGCAACAAAGGAGTTGGTATTATTGGCATACATATTCCAACAGTGTTTGAAATCTGCATAACACTTGGTAGATCTAAATCCAGGGAAGTCTCCCTGTTTGCTCCCCCTCCATAATAAAACACTGACCATGCACGAGTTATTGGCTTTTAACATCATCAGCCATTTTCACCTTCCTCTCTCTTGTACATATTTCCTTTCTTGGACTCCCCTTTTTGTAACCTTCTTCCTGATAAAAAAAATATCCAGAGATTTCAAAAACCTGCTCACCAATTTATATATGTCTAGTTGGATGTAATTAACGTGTTGTCAGAGCCATGGTGGTTGGGACTGAGAGGAGCTGTAATCTAGAATGTCTGAAAAGTAGTCTAAAGGGATGGTGTTCTTCTGGAATTTGCACTGCAGTAGCTAGCTGGGAAAGTGTGAAGGCAGGAGGAGACGGGGACGACAGAGGGTGAGATGGTTGGATAGTGTCATCAAAGCGACCAACATGAATTTAACCCAACTCCGGGAGGCAGTGGAAGACAGGAGGGCCTGGCGTGCTCTGGTCCATGGGGTCACGAAGAGTCGGACACGACTAAACAACTAAACAGCAACAGCTAGCTGGATAGCTCAGTGTTTTAAGTATCTGGATCCAGAGGTTGGGAGAAGAGCCAGCCTATGTAACCAGAGGCAAACTGCACAGAAGGCAAGAAGGGAATAGTCATCCACTTCTGTGTATTCGCTACCTAGAAAACCCTGGAAAAGGATTGCCATAAGTCAGAATTGACTTGGCGGTGCATGGTAATGATTATGTGGTCCTGGGAGACAGTTTTAGAACTGAGTATGTAAAGAAAGGGTGATGCAAGAGGGCGGCAGAAGGGAACTACTATATATCCCCCCCCCCCAATACAAGGGCAATAAATGGAAGCTACAACAGTAATGATATCCTCAGTGGGGTAGTGGATGGAACAGCAACATTTTTTTAAAATTGCAACTGTCCAAGAAAAACGAGGGTCTCAAATGCTATCCTAGGGTAGGGAGGAAATCACTGTTATTGCTAAACTATTGGAAGCCTGAAATCCTTGCTGATCTATTGCAAATTGCTAAGAGATTTATCCACAGAAGTTGGATCTGAATCTACTTGCAACCTGCTTAAAAGCACGACCTCTCAGCCTGATGCGTTGCTGTCCCTGTCCCACAGGCGCTGTTCTTGCTTGCACCAGATGCATTTGAATTTGACAGTTTGCTTTGTGAATCCAAGAGCATCGGCCCAAGAAAGGCGACGGATGCGCCTTCTGTGGCATGGCGTTTTGACGCCCTCTTGCAAAGTTTGTGAAGTGTCCTAGAACATATCTCCCAGTTCGCATTCGGCTTCGTGGGGTGACCCTAAAGCAATCTCGGTGCCCTTGTGAACCCTGACTGAGGGCTGGTTGGAAGCAGTGGCAGCTAGTTCATGGCATTTGGTGGGGGAGGTAGAGGTGGCCCCTCCCCACGGTGGGCAGAGCCAAGAGGTCATAGGCAATGCCAAGCCCGCCATGTTTACACATCCAAGGCAAAAATGTTGTTGGAAGTGCAAGCAAGCATTTGTGTATACATATACACACACATACACAGGAAGAGAGGCAGGCAAGAAGGAATTAGCAAGAAAAAGAGGTTAGAGATATTCCCTGGCTGGAAGGGGGGATGATGCAAGAAAGCTTGCTTTGTTTGTTGGTTGATCTTCAGAACTGAATCATCAGCAGTTCCTTTGAAGTTTGATTTCACAAACACAGAAGAGCTTCTTCAATGACCTCTGTGACACATCAGTCTGTTTCCCACTCTGATTCAGGGCTATCTCTAATGTCCGTCCACAACTCTGGTGAGAAGCAACAACAACAAAAATACACCTTCTCCTCAAATCAGAGATGTATCTACCTTTCTCTGCTTCCTGTAGAGTCCTTCAAAAAACGTAGTGAAGCACAAAAGGGGTGCGAGGCCACTTTAGGGACAGCCAGCCCAGAGAGTCTGGATCATGAAGAGAAAGGCAGGGAAGCTAAGCAAAAAAACTCAGAGGCGTCAGTCTCGTAAAACTACAGCTGTGGGTCCAACGGGTGGTTAGAGGGTCAATGCATTGTTCCTAGTATCTCGAACACAATGCTTGGCTGTGATAACCAATTGTGTCCAGCAGGCCCAAACGTGAGACATCCCACGGACAAGATGGCAACCTGCCCTCTTTTCTAGAAGCCAACCAGGGTGGCAGCTACCTCTATCTGTCACCTCGAGGAAAGCACAGCCTCCTCCTCTACACACCTGGGGTCAGCAGACTAGCTTCAAAAGTTGCAAGGCAGGCTGCTGGTGACCCAGGGCTTCATGGCTCAGCAGAGGACCGTCAGGATTGCTGCCCTCTCAACACCATCTAAAGCCTGAGGGGACAGCATCACGCCAGGACCAGCTCTACTCCTCTACTGCTGGTAGAAAACGTGGCGAGGCGGTCCTGTCCCAAGTCTCTTATACTCACTTTCTTCTTTTGTGGCGGGTCCTTCTCGCTCGCATTGGAGGGCTTCCGACGCAGCATGGCGGTGCTACCTCTGGACGAAATCCAGGAACGGGTTGACGGGGTGAAGCAAGAGAGCCCCGGAGAGGGGCCAACAGGCAGGCAACTCACCAGCCGAGCAACTCACCAGCCGAGGCCAGGAAATGTGCAGGAAATCACTGCATCACATGGGGGGGGGCCTTTTCCCAGCAACAGGGCCTCCGCCAGCCGCCGAAGTGGGGCCCAGCCCTCTGCTTGCACATTTGATGCAGGAAGGAAGTGGTGGCTTTCACATGTTCTTGAAGGCTTCATCTGAGACGTTGGGAGGGAGAGATGGCGGAGGGGAGAGAGAGGGGCCACGTCTTGATGCTCGAAAAGAAAGCTATTTGAGATAAGGCCCTCACTTCACTTTGGGTTGGATTGGGGATCAAGAGGGGGAGAGTCACAGGTGTTGCAGTTGGAGTGTTTGGAAATCCAGTTGCGAGTCTTCACTGAACCACCAAATTCCAGACCCCTTTGGTCAAATTAGCCACTGCAGCTGATGGGAAACGGAGAAGGACGTTAACTCATATGCACTTCCGATTGAACTGGGCATGCATAAATTTAAAATGTTTGAATTTGTATCCATGTGTGTACATATGTTTATGTATAACAATTAGGATTGACTTTTCCCTGTGCGATCAGTTGATTTGTTCTTGTAAAGACAGGGGCTTGTTTGTGGTGATGTTTCAGTTATATAGTTGGAGGATGATGTTTAGGACTGGGAGCATCCACGTTGATGTTCTTTCTCTCCAATCATCCTCTTAA